GAGTAGTCCATGGCGATTGCAGCCAGGACCACGTCTATATATTCTGTCTGTGTGCTGCACATCTGGGATCTGGATTAACCTCCAGTTTTAGGCGGATTTAGAAGCAATTACCTGCCATTTCTGGACATGTTTAACTTGTGGTCGTTGGGGAAGCGATTAATAGCCGTGTTATCAAACTGGGAAAGTGCCTGTCACTTTAATGACGGTATTGACTTATAGTGTGATGTAAGGACACAACCTCCATAATTTTTGCTGACCTCAATATCGTCCCTGTTGTGCTGTCTGGATGTTTGTTTACTTAAGAATATCACCAAGATATTCGCTAACAAGAGGCCAGAAATAACTAAAAGGTTAACCCTTTCATTATAAGACGCAGGCCTTTTTGTTTAGTTGTATTTGTTTAGTTTTAACTGAATATTTAAAGATTTTTTTCCAATTTCAATGACATACTATTCTTAAGAATGAATTGCTCCTTTAAAAGGAGCACTTGCATTATTATACTATTATATAATCATAATATCATTGATGGCAATATATTCTGGGTCAATAAATCCTAGTCGAATAAAAGCGTCTGAATAAAAAAAAAGGATTAATTGTACTTATGAGAGTTAAAGGTGTTGAGTGTCAGTAAAGCTCACATTCCCACCAGCTGGCAGTTTGAATAATAGGAGTTATACAAATGATGGAAAGTTGGGTGCCACAGTATGTGGACAGACATAATGGAAACACGCTATTTCTGTTGTTCAGAAAACCAACAGCACCTCCTCCACACATCCTATTGGCCAAAATTAGATGTGTTTTTGGAGAGTGAAGAGGGGAAAGAATCACAGCAGTTGACATGCTGATGTGGGCAGTGGGGGAAGGGGGGGGAGGCGGGGGTACCGAGTTTAACCAACACAATGTTACCCAATCGCATTATAGCCAGAGGGCCGGCAACGGAACCACACTGCAGGAGAGCAGCTCTGTCATTTAGCCATCTCTCTGTCACGACATTGTTAAATGGTAGTTTGGATTGACTGAGTTATTTTTATACCCTTTAACAGTCCCAAGTGGGTGCTCAGTAGAGACACAAACACAAGCTGTTAGCTGGTGAGCTAGCTAGCTAGCTGCCCATAGAGCTTTTGTAGGACATCCCAAGCGGCTGGTAGCAGAGGGAGGGAGGGAGGGAGTTTCCTGGCCATCTGTTAGCTTCTCTGACCTACTATCTGCCACAACTGGAACAGCGTGCTTCTCCAGTCCTGCCCTCCGCCCCCCCACCCCCCCCACCAAATACCCTGCTTTTAATCCCAATGTTTGTCTTCCAAAGATAGCCACCTCAACGTTCAAGGAGTTCATCTTCTACTTTACATACTTAAGAGGAGGTTTGGGTGAGAGGTTGCCTCGTGCAGGATCTCATTAGCCTGTCTGCCCTGCATGGGATCATGGAGGAGGGAGAAAATCTTCTGCCAGGAAATGAAAGTGTTGATTCTGTGTCAGCGAGGGCTAGTTGTAGCCCGGCCTGCATCATGGCACCGCTCGTGAACTTGCCCAAGGCTGGAGGTCACGACACACATGCGATAATGGGTGTGTTTTTTCCTCCTCAGTGCCACGTTAAACGCTGCTGCACGTTTGATCTTCGGCAGCATCGTGGGCGTAAAATGAGGGCACCACGAGCCACCAGCTGTGCCTCTTGAGCTTTAAAGTCAAGGAGTGAGACAGTGCAGCGTGAGAGTGAAACAGTAGGCATGCAAGCTTGCAGTGCTCTGTTGTTGTTTTATGCTCCGTTACTTATGTTGCAAACAGTGTATTTTGTGTGTCTGTAATCCACATTCTGCTAATCCCTCTAAATACGAAGGTAACCTAAATCAAAAGCCATTAGACTGCATTGCTGCTCTCATGCTATCTGTCATCTGAATAGGTTAAGTATAATTTGCTGTACTTAATTCAAAGTGTAAACAAAAATCAGTTCTGCTATAACAAATTATTATTTGCATTTTACATGAAACTGGTTTCGGCCAAACGGTAACTCTATACAAGATCAAAACGTTTGGTAAAATGCACATAATTTCATAGATTCCATGTCTGCAAACTGCTTGTTCTGTCTGATCAAAACTTGCTAAATATATAAAGAAATAAATGATTAATCCACAAATATCAAAAACTCTGTCAGTTCAGCTAATAGTTCAAGAACAGAGGAAGCATATTTCTCAAAATGGCAAAATAACCCTTTTCATATTTTATCTGCACTCTACTCAATAAATTGACCAATAGTAACCTATGAAAACACTACTATACTTTTTGTTTAACTGAATACAATTCCTGCATGGAAAAAAATGTTTGATCCCAGAATAGAGTTGCAACTAACAATACTTTCTAGAATAATACAAAAAAAACTTTTAGCTGATTAAATGTCAGAAAACAGTCTATTCTCAGTTCCTCAAAATCCAAGGTCTCTTGTTTTGTCAGTTCAAATCCTAAAGATTATCAGCTTAATATCAAATAAATGTGAGAAAAGCAGAAAATCACCAAATTTGGGGGCAAAAAAACTGGTTGGTTATTAATTTTTGCACGAAAAAAGATAGTATTACGAATGACACTTTAGGCCATCCTACACTGTGTTGTGGGCCCAGTTTAATATGTAACTCATTTATGTTCATAACTAGTAGACCTTCTTCCTTATCAATCGAAGACCCCTTGGACTTATCAATGCAGCTTTATCCCAGATAAAATCAGCAGGTCATTTCAACCCCATCATCGTTTGTGTGAACGCAGTGTCGTGATTTGGCTCAAAGGCGATAACATTTTAAGCCCTATTCTTATGGCTAAGTAAGGCTTAAGAGTAGAGGGACGGGCTTGTACAGTGTTCAATGATGCATGGACATACAATGATACTGAATAAATCGGAGAGGGGAGGGGCTCCTTACATTTCAAAGGCACTGTCAAAACTGACAGGCTCTTTACTGTGGGGTTGCCAGGGAGACAGGGACCATGTGGCTGAAGGGGTTTGCAAATGAAGCTACGAGATGCTACTTTGCAACACAGATGGACAGACTAAACAGCGGGGAGAGAAGTGAGAGGAAGTAAACAAAGACTCAAGAAAGGTGTGTTAAGTGTTACAGCAGAGAGAACGAAGGACTGTGGAGAGAAAGGTTGATAAAAGAAATGGAAGAAAGTGTGAAAATAGAAGTCCGGCTCAGAATTAGTGTGGCTAGCAGAGCATGCAAGGTGGTGCATGCATAATCGCCCTGGAAGACTGAGAGTGGGCCTTTTAAAGATTCAGCTTACTCTGTGTGTGTGTGTGTGTGTGTGTGTGTGTGTGTGTGTGTGTGTGTGTGTGTGTGTGTGTGTGTGTGTGTGTGTGTGTGTGTGTGTGTGTGTGTGTGTGTGTGTGTGTGTGTGTGTGTGTGTGTGTGTGTGTGTGTGTGTGTGTGTGTGTGTGTGTGTGTGTGTGTGTGTGTGTGTGTGTGTGTGTGTGTGTGTGTGTGTGTGTGTGTGTGTGTGTGTGTGTGTGTGTGTGTGTGTGTGTGTGTGTGTGTGTGTGTGTGTGTGTGTTTCTGCTTGCGTGTGTGTGTTTCTGCTTGCGTGTGTGTGTGTGAGCAGCTGCAGAAGGCCCTCCATTAGCATGCTGGAGGTGGTTATGTAAACTGTCATGCTGGTGGTGGGAAACAGAGTCCTCTGTCTTCACGAGAGCAACTTCAGTGGTTGTGATGGATTTCCCCCCCAGTGTGTTCGACACACATTACGGCTGTGAAGCGATACAGCTCTGGTCCTCGAGGAAATGCTGCGGCCGTCTCAGTTGAAGTGGTCGATACATTTGAATTGCATTATGTCTGCATTAACAGTGGCGGTCAGATTTGATCAAAAGAATGCATCTGCCTCGTCTTTCTCAGCAGCATTCATGTCAAAGCCCTCTCAGCACTTGGTGATGGGCTGAAGTCATTTATTTATTATGGACAATATTTTTTGAATATTTTACGTAGCCATTAATCTATGAAGTAAATATTTTGGTAATCTATTCATTGTAACCAAATAAATATTCATGCAATAAAAGCTTTGTAAGCATTTAAAATATGGAAATGTTCTGCTTTCCTCAGATTTTACATCATATTAATCTAAATATCTTTGGCTTTTGGACTGAAATATTAATAAATGTATCAAAACATACATGCAGCCTTTATGTAAATACTGTATCTAATATATGTACAGATATTCTAAAAACAACTGCAGTTAAATGTGCTGTGGGTTTGGTTTTAATCACACACAGACACACACACACACACACACACACATATGACTTAACATTAACCATGCTCTTCAGGGCGAACAGGAAGTGCTCTCTGTTTTCAGTAGCAGAACTAATTTTGGAGTACATGCAAGAAGAACAGGGTAGCATGAAAAAGCGAAAAGAAACCATGGCTGCAAAGAAAAGAAAGGCTCTTCAAGTTGTAGAATATCCAAGGAGACATGAAACACTCATTGACCTTTGGACAGTGCAAACACACCACAGAGAGGATCACTCATCATCAAGGGGCAAAGGATAGTTGACATTTTGGAAAATGCACTAATTTGCTTTTTTTGCAGAGGGTTAGATGATAAAATTGATATCACATGAGTCTGTTTATTCAATGTGAAGCTACAGCTAGCATACGGTTATCTTAGCTTAGCACAAACACTTGAAACAGGGGGAAACAGCTAGCTTAGTTCTGATCAAACATATAACAACTAATTGTTGTTTTTGAAGGATGGAAGAAGATCGACTGTGTTATTTTGTGATATTTAATTGAAGGTATGTTTTATATATTTGGATAGATGCTAGCTATATTCCCCCACTGCTAATCTTTGGGCTAAGCTAAGCTATTGTCTCCTAAAAGTATTAGTATGAGAGATGTATTGATCTTGTCATTAAACTTTCTGGAAAATTTGATTTAAAAATACAAGGATTTTACAATTTATCCTGATTTAAAGGACATTTAAAGGTTTATGTGTTTATGAGTCTGATGGAGTGTGTCTGTCTCCTGCAGGTTTTTGCCACTTACCCCAATGAGGACTACGACAGGCGTAATGAAGATGTTGATCCCATGGCAGCGTCTGCAGAGTACGAGCTGGAGAAGAGGGTGGAGAGGCTGGACCTGTTCCCCGCAGAGCTGGAGAAAGGTAGAGAACATTATAAAGTTGATCTTTATCCAATGCTATTGTGTACAGGATTTGAGGATGTTTTTCAAGCATTGATTCAACCTGCTCGAGGCACCAGGAGGGTGGTTTGCATGAAATTGGGAAGCAAAACGAATACGAGAAATTTGACATCCATGGAAACTGAATTTAAAATGATTATGGTTATGTGATAGACCTCCTGAACACTTGGATTTGTCATTTCCATTTCTCTTTGAAGCCAAAAGGAATAAAAAGCACCTGCATTTTTGTATTACTTATGTAAAAGGTTCTTCACTGACTGCCTTCTGCCAACCACCCCCTTCCCTCCAGCCACACTTCCCTCAACATCCCTTCAACATTATGCTCCATTAATATATTAATAGAAGACTATATTTAGAATGATGTGCAGGCCAGGTTACACAGGATACCATATGTGGCCATCCTCTGTCTACTGTAACTTTTAACTTTTATCCATGTATTTTTTCTTTTAATGTTTATTTTATTATCTTTCCTTTTTAATGACTGATTTTAAATGCCATTTTTAAAATGTCTTCCATTTTTGTAAAGCACTTTGAATTACCTTGTGTTGAAAGGTGCTATATAAATAAACTTGCCTTGCCTATATAAACGATATGCTGCTGTATGTTCAAATTAACACCTCTGCACATTACACCTCAGGCAGGAAACCCGGGTGCTATCACTGATCTCTCAAGTCACATAAAGCGTTAAACTGAAGTGTTTTGTCATAACAAGAGTCCTCGAGATGAAAAGAAGCTAGTGCAGGCTTTTATTTCAGCTATAAATATATTTCAGCAACATGCAGAATGCTGCTGTCACTTCAGAGAAAATACATCAGAGAAGCTGCCGCGTGCCGTTTAAGAACTCTGGACAGGACAGCAGTACATAACCACAAGCTGTAATTATTAGCCAACTGCTATATATGCTTGATTTAAAAATATTTATAAATGTGCTTCTGTAGTTCTGCATTTGATGAGGTAAAACAGGTAATTGTAACTACTATATACATATTTCATAAATGGTTAATACCACACTAAAATGTAGTTGTACACTGATATGCGCTTTTTAAAAATGTGTATGAATTCCTCCTCCTGTGAGATAAGTATCTACTTTACTAATATGACAATATAGCAAAACCTAGTAGTAATTAATAAACACTTCAAATGTTTTTCAAAATGTTGAATATACTGAATGGTATTTCTTCACAGCCCATAGATTGTAATACCACAAGATACACTTATTGCTTATTACAATACACTGTAACAATGGAGGGTCCGCTTACTGTCAGTTGATAGCAGTAGTGTGCTCAGAAATGCAGTAATGCGCCAACAAAGGCAGGGATTAAGTGAACTGCGAGCTAGCAATTATGGATGTAAACAATGCAAGGTTTAAATTTGGCTTTGTAAATGTTTTATGAGGAAGGAAATGCATTGTCGGGGCCTCAAGGACACACACAATGCATTAGGTGTGCAACACTGTAAATGTTTACAACTTTGTTTGTTTATGAGAAAACTCCACGGGCAACTTTAATTTGACCACACCTGTGGGAAAGGGAAAGGGGCTCTTCAACTTCTCCACCCAAATGTATCTGTTCATGGTTCAAACGGACAGTTTTCAGCCAAAACGTACAACTGAATGAAAGCTCTGGATTACAGTCGCAGTATGGTAACAGCGCGTCTGTTTCTCTCTTTTAGATGGTGAGGGTCTGGGCATCAGTATCATCGGGATGGGTGCAGGGGCTGACATGGGCCTGGAGAAGCTGGGCATCTTTGTGAAGACAGTCACGGATGGAGGAGCAGCACAGAAGGACGGCAGGTATGTTAAATCATGATCAATTCACCTCGGATCATCCTGATTCCTTCACAAAAGAGGCAAACTGGAAAGGCCTATGTAAACCACATTTGAACCTGAGGTCAGTTTATTTGTAGTAATTTATCTCTTGCTTTATCAGCCCATTTATCTTTCCGATTCCTGCCAACTACGAAACGGTGTTGCTGCCAAGAACGAGGGCTCATAAATGGAGTGTTGCTTGTGTAGGCTTTAGTCAAAAGATGATGAGCGAAGGCCACAGATATGCTATTACTGAGAATCCTGAACTTCTCCCTCGACTGCCCCTCCAGGATCCTGGTGAACGATCTGATTGTGGAGGTGGACGGGACCAGTTTGGTGGGAGTCACCCAGAACTTTGCCGCCTCCGTACTCAGGAACACCTCAGGAACCGTCAAGTAAGTCCACACTGAAATATCTTGACGTGTCACCGAATTGAAATGGAATGTAATGGATTTACATGACCACGTCCTTCATATCTCATCTAGCGTCATAATGATATCATATTTGTTGTCCTGTACTTTTATTTATGACTAAGAATACCTACAAAACTTTAAGGGACAGTTCAAAGGGTGCAATATGTCAATTTAGATTGTTTAGGTGTGAGAGGTTTTCCTACGCTCTCTTATAATGAAACTTGATGGCACAAGGCCTTATGTGCTCAAAGTGCCAATAACTAACCAAAACATAATTTTGTAAAGAAATCGTAACCCGGATACTAAAAAGAAAACAATTAGGACAACACCTGCCAATGAGGTGTAATTTGGTTGCTGTTGAGATTTTAAAATGTATGGCACTTGAGCACAGGAAACTGAGTACCATTTTTCACAAGTTCTGTTATAATGGAGAGAAGAAAGACATTTCTAAGTACAATAGTATCAACACTACCTGGAATTACAGGGGAGCTGTCCCTTTAAGACATTCCCACAAGACTCAGCTACACTGTTTAGAGCGAATTAGTAAACACTCACATGCTAGTGAACATGTTAAACTAAAATCGACATGTTAGCAAGCGGCTTATATTAATCTCAAAGCAATTCTCAGAGTTCCTTTTAGTTTTACAGGCTCTGTCTCGCTGTGATGTCACATTTCTTGCTCAAAGAGATGGTTTCCTCCTGATATAGATACATATACCCACACAGCCAGTCTTACACGCAGGACTGACTTCTACCACATCCTGCCCATTCAGCTACCAGACTGTAGATTTATATCTCAAGTCTCACAGGGTCATGATTATACCCTTCAAGCTTCTTTCTGAGACATCCTGAATACGAGCCAAAGAATCCTCCACAGAAAACACAGCTATCAGGAACAAATACACCCTGCATCAGAGGTATCATTCTAAAATGCCAGAGGGATATTTGTAGCCGAGGTTGGAACTGACTGTTTCCTACGTGCTCCTTTTGTCACCTAGGCTCATTCATTATTCAGCGGTTTAGTTGTCAGTGCTGTTTTTGTTAGTGTTGTGTGACTTGTGGAGATCAGAGACTTACATTATGGATCTACTGAAGTGATGGCACTGGTGCTCAGACCTATTCATGAAAAGCGTCAAGCAGGGAGACAGACAGGGACAGGGACAGGAAGTGCGTTTGTGAACATTTAATTACCCATTAGCAGCGCAGAAATTGAAAGGCGGCAGCGGCTGGCTTAATAACTGTCTGTGGCTGTGTCATGATTTACAGTGTTGCTTCCTGTTTCACTGTTTACACCACGGCTTTAATTGGACGGAGATTTGTGAGCCTCAATCAGGAAACGTATAGCCTCCGTAATGAAGTGCACAATGAGCTGAAGGAGAGGCGCGTTTGATTTTAATCACAGAAGGCCAACTCCATAGAGACCGCCTTTGTTCGGCTCTAAACAGGAAGACATTTTCTGTCATCAGAGAGCCGGCGAGATCCTCACTCTATCAATACATGACATTATACCATCTGAAGAGGCTCTAAGAAGTCTATTATATATGAAAAGTACTTTCGTCTTCCTTGTAGGGCAGGTGTTCATGCTCCTCAAGGAGAAAAAGGACCATAATGTATAATTTAGCGTGCAAATACATTCAAGGTTCAAGGCTTTTATTGGTCATACGTAAGCTACAGTGTAGTTATGACGATGAAAATCTTAGGTCACAGGCTCCTCCAACAGTGCAACACATTTATTATTATCGTATCAAGTCAGATAAAGACTGTCTGTTTGATCTACACGGAACATCAATAAAATTGGTCAATTATCTTACTCTCGTATAGACTCTAACTCAAACTAAATGCTGTAGTCTTGGCTTGACAGTTACAAAAGTGACATTACTACACCTATTTGAGCTTTTAAACCTTAGCTTCGTCTGTCTTTTAGAATAGATTTCATAAATACTTTCAAGGCCCGTCCCTTATCTCCGAGCTGCTGTTCCTCATGGCCGAAGGCGACGTCTGAGATCCTAGAGCAAAACCCTGTTACTTGTTTTAAAATCACTGCCGAAATCTAAAGGTGACCGCCGCTTTGTTGTTAGAGCATCCAGACTCTGGAGGTCCCTGCCTGAGAATATCAGACCTTCTGAATCGGTGCCCCATTTAAAATCACTCCTGAAAACACACTTGTAAAAAGCTGCTTTTGATTTTCTTTCGTTTTTTTAATTTTACGTTTGCTTAATTGTTGTTTTCTGTCATTCCTGATTTGCTATGTGTTACTTTTACCCTTATCTCTCTCTTTAAGCGTGTTCATCCCTCTGAATTTGAAACGCACTCTATACACAAAAGACTACTTCAGTTAAGCGAGCATCTTCAAACAGGTCGGCGCTGTTTAGACCTGACTGAGCTGATTGTGAACCCCCAGGTTTGTGATTGGTCGAGAGAAGCCGGGGGAGCAGAGCGAGGTGGCGCAGCTCATCCAGCAGACCCTGGAGCAGGAGCGCTGGCAGAGGGAGGTGATGGAGCAGCGCTACAACCAGTACATGGACGACCAGGAGGTATGTCTTTAGAAGTATTCTTTAACCACTGTCTGAAGTGAAGGTGCACTGATTTACTAAACAAAATGTCCTTCCTCATCTCCACCTTTTATGAGCGAGAACACACACTCACTACTATGACCATTAGAATGAAGTGGAGGATGCAGGCTAGTCAATAAAAATATAAAACTATTTTACAGCTCAGTTGAGCCATGTTAAATAATAGGATGAATCCCAGTTAAAAAAAAGATATCTGAATGCATTTATCAACATTTGAAGTCATCAAGTATCAACAAAATCATCTCTAAATAGCTTTAAAGTAGTATTTTGGCTGTACAATATACATTTAGTAGAGCTCTGAATGTCTGTCGTCATATGTTATGACTTTATTACCCTAAAACAAAATGAAAAAAAAGGAGAGCCAGCATATTTTTCACAGCAGTTAAAATGTTTATTGAAGACTAAACGCCAACAAATATGGATAAAACTGAATATTTCTTTAGGTAAAAACGTGCATTTTTAAAAGCATTATATTCCTTTTTGACTTTACAACTAAAATCTAGTTCTATAAATAGTATAATATTAATAATAATGACTGCAAACCAACCTTAATCTATCTTAATCTGCAACTGTGAAGGGAAACCGGTTTTAAACTAAATGAATAGAAATGCAAATAAAAAATAAAAGCAGCTCTGCTACTGAATGTCAATGTAATGAATGAAGCCTCAGAGCCATGAAACTATTCGGTGCAGCCCTTCAGAGTTCATACATCCTTTTCAACCTCCGACACAAATACTTCCTCAAAAATGAAAAAGAAGTTGCAATCATTCATGGCTCTGTAAGCCCTCGGTTCCCCTTTTAGGATTATGCAATGTATCCCATGAACAGCAGTGACCCTCTCTGTGTGGCTGGGCTCTACGTGCCTCTGGCCAGAAGCCTCACTATTGTGTCCAGAGCATCAGTCCCATCAGACGATAAGCTTCGCTCCGAAATGAGGGCAAATCGGGATCTGAAAATCTGTGCCCCCGGATGTCCTTTGCTTTGTTAATCTCATGAGTCTCCTCTGATTTTGTTTTACATAAACTATAAGCTCATGGAGTTTTTACAGCTCATACGCGACTGTACTTTCATAAGAACAGAGAGGAAGTTTCCCCGTTCATGCCTCTGTGCTGGTGGTGCTTCTTGAAAAGCTTTATGTTGTGTAACTGAAAGGGAAGTCTGATCTTTGGAGAGGTGCACCACCTAGTGGCTGTGTGGTGTCATAGCCAGAGGTGGGAGAAGTACTCAGATCTTGTACTTGTAAAGTAGAAGTACCAGAGTGTGGGAATACTCTGTTACAAGTAAAAGTCCTGCACTCAAAACGTTACTCAGGTAAAAGTACAAAAGTATCTGCATCAAAATATACTTAAAGTACCAAAAGTAAAAGTAGTCATTGTGCAGATCGGTCCATTTCAGAATAATATATATGATATGTTTTATAATGATTGATCATTAAAGTGTTCTCAAAGCTGGTAAAGGTGCAGCTAGTTTGAATGACTTTGTATACTGCAGGGTAGCTTGTGCATTTACTCCAGGTGGAACTAAAGTCTGATTTAACACTTGATTATATTTCACATCATTCATCCACATCTGTAAAGTAACTAAAGGTACTAAATAAATGTAGTTGAGTAAAAGTACACCATGCACCTCTGAATAGTAGAAGTACAAAGCAGCATACAATGGAAATACTCAAGTAAAGTACAAGTACCTATAAATTGTACTTAAGTACCTGAGTAAATGTACTTAGGTATTTCCCACCTCTGGTCATAGAACAGACACATGCTTTTAAAGACACCATACAATTACAATTTGTCACTCTGTTTTCCTGTTTTAAGTGACATTTTATTAAATGTTTTGACAATTAATCTAAACACATGTCAGAAATACCTAAATTCCAATCATTTAAACTCCTGGAAATGAGTGCCCCATTGCTAAAACTATTACAAACATGTTAAAGATGACATATTCTGCTTATTTTCAGGTTCATATTTGTATGTTGTGTCTCTACTGTGACATGGTCTTTCTTTTTCTCTGTGCCCTTAAAACCTGCTGTAATTATTTCCGTGTGTGAATGGGATGCTAACCTGAACGTGTCCCTGCAGGGCGGAGAATACGGCACAGACGAGGAAGAGGACGAGGATGAGGAGGTGAGCCCGCCGTATCCCAGCGCCATCGAGGTGTTCGACCTGGCAGAGAACGAGGACATGTCGCCCCTGGAGACGGACCCTGAGAAACTAGCACATAAATACAAAGAGGTGAGAAATGAGCTTCCTTAATTGGAGCATTTTCTGTGTAATCACAGTTTATTTCTTGATATGTGTCTAATACTAACACATGTATTTAAATCTGTCTTTGCTGTAAAGCTCCAAATAAAGCATGCGGTGACCCAGGCCGAGATCCAGCAGCTGAAAAGAAAGGTAACTTCTTAAATTATGTTTTAAAGATGAAGAAGAAGCAATTCTGGATTCAGTAAAAAGAAAAGAATAGAAGCCTTTATTGTCATTATATAGAGAAATACAATGAAATTACAAATGCCCGTACCAGTAGGGCTTAAAATACACACACAATAATACACACAAACAACTATTTTAATCATAACAAAAGAAAAAAGATAAGCAATAAAAGACAAAAACAAGAATAAAGACAGTTAAACGGTTGCTAACTTCAGGATCTACTCACTATGATAAATAAAAAAAGCTATGTGAGAAATTATGGAAAGAAAGCAGAGTAAAGTGTGATTAAGATTAAAGAGTTTTATGTTTGATAAAGTTATTATCAACTGATTGCTATGATGCAAATGCTAAGCTAATATAAAGATAAGATGAAGATTTCTGCATGCTAAACCTGCAAGAAAAACCCACTTAAAAAACAATGTTTTTTCTCAATTCTCTTCAATAAAACGAGGTCAAGTAAAACAACAAAATACATGTTTTGCCTATTATATAAATAGAGTTTGTAGGCCTAAACTAGCTGCCTTTAATGTGTAAGTAATTTGCCAATTAAAAAGTGAATTGTACATAAAACATGTGAAACTGATATTTTGTAAATATAATAGCACTTTATACAACTTTTAAAGATTTTGTGTGTAAGATAACTTGTGTCTAGTTTACCTTTGTAGGCAAATAACATATTTTAAAATATATTTTTAGGAAGTTGAGATTCAATCCAGAATCAACTTTTTTCCCACACCTACAAAGAAGCATTTCTTATTTTAAGGATGTTGTAATTGAAATGGATGCTTCACCTGTGTTCCCAGCTGCATCACGCGGAGCAGGACAAGCAGCGCTGGCGGATGGACAAGGCCCAGCTGGAGCAGACGCTGCAGGAGAACAAGGAGCGCATGGACAAGCTGGAGGGATACTGGATGGAGGCGCAGAGCCTGTGCCAGGCGGTGGACGAGCACCTGAAGGAGACGCAGGCGCAGTATCAGGCTCTGGAGCGCAAGTACAGCAAAGCCAAGCGTCTGATCAAGGAGTATCAGCAGAAGTAAGACACAAGAGTCCATATGTATACAAACAGCTGAGAGAGATGTTACATTAGAGTCTGATGCTATGGCTTCCTCTAACAGGGAGATCGAGTACCTGAAGAAGGAGACGCAGCGCTGTGCACAGGATGGAGCCGAGGCCTCGCTACTGAAGGAGGAGTCCGGACAGCTTCAGGAGCAGGTACAGCTCAGGAGAAACCCAGAAACTGTTTGAAAAAACTACACTTCAAATGTTCAGTGATGACATGTTGGTATTGTTCGCCCTATGTAGGTTTAGTGCTAGAAAAAGCTTTGAAACGGTTTGTCTCACATTATGATAATATATTCATATATGATATAATATATTTCCATTGATTTGTGCATAGCACTTTTATCCATTAAGATAATAAGATAAATATATACAAATAGACAAATGAGACAAATAAAAAGTCTTAAAAGGTATACAACGTTGAGCAAACGGAGTCAAATATAAAAAATGTAATTATTCATTCAAATTAAGGTTGAGAATGCCTTTTTGTTTAGAGGTTTTAAGATGTGACATAGCAGATAAGTCAGCCCAAAAACTCTCAAAAACATTTATAAAAATGGCTTTAATTTGTATAAACTGTTGACTCTGACATGTTAGGAGTAATAATAGCTTAATAAAAATATAAAAGCATGTATAACAGGCACATTTATACTATATACAATTCATTATTTACACATATTTCTTGTAGATTATTTTATAAAGCAGCAGTTTGCAGTGTTTTTGGCACATGAGTTTTTTGATGGTTCTCTCCATTTTTATTTGGTTTGTTAAAGCATTAACTACAAATAAGACCATGTTGTATATGTAAGCGCTTTTCATATTGCTCACATGATGTAACACACGTAATAAACTTACTGCATGTTCCCCTGTCCTCTGCAGGTGGCTGACCTGGAGTGCCGGGTGGAGGAGCTGAAATCTGAACCTTTATAAAAGCCTTTCGTCCGTTACCTCTCAGAAAGCAGAACTCCACCAGAGGAAGGAGAGAGAGAGAGAGAGAGAGTTATTGTTCTCTCAATGACCTGCAGGGTATTTTCTCGTCACCACCTCGAGCTTGGTTTCCGGTCGCATACTGTATATATGTGTCCTCAGGCTTCTGCCACTTAACCCTTTTTAACCATGTTTTTCTGTTTTATGGGAACTGAAGAACAGCTTTATCATCACAAATACAGACTCTGTTGAGCTCTAGGTGTACTGTTCCCTTTTCATTTCCGCAGTTCAGTATTTAATCCATAATTTGTGGTTTTGTGACAGACCAAGCTGTTGCTTTTGATTGCCAAAAAACAAAATCCCTTTCTTTCTTTCGCCTAGTTTTGTGACCTTTTTTTTGTACAGATGTGATACTGTGTGGTTTTAACAATCAGTTTGGTTTGTAAAAAATTCAAATATGTGTATAACATTTTAACATAATATAAACTAATGAGATTTGAGGGTTGTTGTATATTTTACATGATGATGTGTAAATTGGAGATTGCACTGAAGGACACTTCAACAAGGTGCTTCACTGGAGCAGAGGGACAACGCGGGAACAATGTTTTGAGGTGTCTTTGGAATTGTACAAACTGTAAACCCAACCTTCGTAGGGGTCTTGTCGTCACTTAACCTTGAGAACCACCTGCTGCCTACCTTTCAGAAGTGTTTGTGTATTTTTTTACACATTAAGACTCAGTAATGAGCGTTCAATCCTCCGGTTTCAACCCCTTGCTTCTTTCAGAAAAAAAGGACCACAGAAACAAGCCTCCACAACTGCTGTGCCACAAAATGGATCTCTTTGTCCCTTAAAAATGGATGTTGTCAAAGAACTTGTGTAACTGGTATTAGTTAGGACTACTGATATAATAAACTATACTGGACTGGGATGTTAAAGAAGTCGTTACCAGCAGCAAAGTTAGATTTAAATAGCTTGTGTCTCGAACCAGCAGCTGCACTTGACACCGCTGTGTGTAGCACATGGAAAACACTGCCAGGTTAATCCCTGTTTTCAATTTACGCACAGTTTAAAATTGAGTCTACTTGTGTTGACTGTCATACCAGTATGTTTGTATAGTTCAGGTAAGACTGAAGTATTTTAATTTTACTTAATATTTATAATATAATCAAGTGGGAAATACGAGCTAACAAGGACAGAAACTGACAAAGGCAATGTTCAATGGACAGTCAAACTGTGCCATTAAAAACATGTAGATCTGGATGACTACAGAAACAAATTTAAAGATTATTGAATTGAAAAAAAAAACAGGCATGTTATGAGGATTTTCATAATATTAAGGCTTGTACAGTGCACATGCTTTGCATTGTATGTTTTGTGGAATAAATGGTCAAAAGTGATGAGCAAGTTTGTGTTTTTTATTTTAAAGCAAGCTGACATTGAGAGACAATAAGCATTTGTCGGACTGGTGAGCTCCTTAACTTATTTTTTATCAATTGTATTGAATGACTTGTTTGTGTTAATTTGTTTTCTGCTTTCAAATAACTAAAACAAATATTTTTTCACATAAATCAATTTTTGGTTATGTAATGCTTTAAACAAACTTAATTTAAAATAAAGTTACGTAACTGACCTAGAAGAAAATCTATCAAGTGCAATTCAGTTTGAAATGGCAACAATTAAAGGAATATTATGGATTCTTTGGAAGTGGGGTTGTGAGAGGTACTTATTAATAGATTAGCTAGAAAGATGTCTTAATAGGTGGCTAAAATATATTATGATGTCGCCACACCCACAGCTTAGCTTCCATGCTTACTGCAATCTACTGTAATACTGATTAAGTATACAGTAGGTACTTCTTACAACCCAACTTCAAAAGTAGCCAAACTATCCCTTAAAGCTCCTCTACACCCTCAAAATGTGACTACAAGTGCATCTTCTGATGGTGTCTCCTGAGGTGATAGTTCCTGGAGAAGCTCTTCCCGCACTGGGTGCATTTGAACATCCTCTGTCCCAGGTGAAGCAACTGGTGAGCTTTGAGACTCTGCGGGCGGCTGAAGCTTTTGCAACACTCGGAGCAGCTGTAGGGCCGGACCCCCGTGTGCTTCCTCTCGTGTCGCTTCAGGTCTCCGGACTGCCGGAAGCTCTCCCCACAGTGTGTGCACAGGTATGGTCTCTCCCCTGTGTGAGTCCTGACGTGCACATTGAGCTGTCCCGTGTAGGAGAAGCTCTTGCTGCAGTGAGGGCAGCTGAACGGCTTCTCGCCCGTGTGGACGCGCTGATGTTGCTTCAGACCATAGTGGTTCGTGAAGCCCTTCCCGCAGTCTGTGCACAAGTACAGCACCTTCACCTGCTGGAAGCATGCGTGCGCTTTTAAAGCTTTGGCACTCTTCCCACAACCGGGGCATACATATTCCTTTTCTCCCTTCTCTTCCACTTCCTCTTCCTCCAACTGAATTGCAAGGTTGTCGGAATCACAATGGGCCAGATACTCCACTGGGTGGTGCCTCTTGACGTGTTTGATAAGGTAGCTCTTCATGGTGAAGGAGAACTGACAGTATGTGCACGGGAAAGGCTCTGACGTGCAGTGATACTTCATGCAAGTGTTGCTCTTGCGATGCTGTTTGAGGTTACTAGATGTAGTGAAGGATTTGCCGCAGCGGTCACAACTGTACGACTTTGTATTTGAATGCACCGTCTGCTCGTGCCTTTTCAGAAGGCCAGTAGTTTTGAATGTTGCCTCACACTGACCACATTTGAGCTCCTTTAAAGCACACTTGTGTGCCTTAAGATCATCCGGGTTCTGGTATGTGCATTTACAGCGATGGCAGCTGAACCATTTGTATTTTTCTAACTCTCCATTTGTGGCCTCGGATTCGTTGGAGGTCTTCTCCGTCTGCACAGCGCTGGTCAACGACTTCTTTAAGATGGCTGCCCTTCGTTTTGGAGCTATGAGTTTGGTTATGGCGGAAATTTTGGATCTGGCTCCAAGTCGCTGAGGTCTCTGACGTTTTTGGACTGATTCTACTATTTCAGCTACTGACGGTGGAGGAGTGAAGTCTGGATCATGGCTCTGATCAGCTTCTTGATTTTCCATTGATGCTTCCTCTGAGTGATGCTCAGTTATGTGCAGCTGAAGGGTGTCCACAGAGGAAAAAGTCAGTGAGCACTCAGTACAGCTAAAGGGCACGGTAGAAGACTCATCCGGAGCCTCTTTTGTTTTTTCATCGCTCTTGTTTTCTTGTTTCTGATGACCCCGCAGGTGCCTGGTGAGGTCGTTGTACTGTCCGAAGCACTTCTGACACAACTTGCAGACGTACGGACGCAACTTTTCATGGCCAGCCATCTTATGCTTCTTTGGGGATTCTTCTTCATTTATGAAACTCTTACTGCAGTCTGAAGAATTTGACTGGAAAGTGTTCTCAGTTACATCCATAGCTTCTTGCACACTCTCACTTACATTCAAGTCTGTTGTCTCTTCAATTATAGATGGCTCTGCAGTGTTTAAAACCTCCGACATCACGTTTTCTTTCTTCTCCCTGCTGTTCTGATTTGGAATTTTTGTTTTGCCTTTTATCACCGCCCGCTTCCTGTGAACTAGCTGGTGTCTGACTAAGCCAGAAGCTTGGCTGAAACTCCGCCTGCACTGTGTACAGCAGTACGGACGTTTGTTTGAGTGGACGCAAAGCTTGTGCCTCCTAAGGTGAGGTATTTGCTTGAAAATCTTCCCGCAATCGCCGCATGTGTTCGACTCAACAGTATCAACACAAACCACCATCAGGGATGCTGCAGAGGGAATTGAGTCAGTATACGAAGAGGGATTTTCAGGCTCAGCTGCCTCAGCAGCCGGTAAGCAGTCCTCCTCAGGCTGAATGTGGTAGTACTCTGTATGTAGCTGAAGAAAGGACTCTGTAGTGAAGGGCAGCTGACAGTGGGAGCATGGGAAGATCTGAGATGTCGCAGAAGTGCTACTCTCTAAAATAAAGAACACAAGAGGAAAAAAAAACATAAATTGAACAGAAGTATTTTAGTTTTAGCAGTGAACTGTCCCAATAAAAAATATGGCATTGTAAGATTTATTTTTAGGAAAAAAATACAATAATAATTTAAAAAATCAAACAATACATTTTTCATATGTAGGGGGTTATATTAGGTACCTGTTGCATTCAGCTTCATGACCCAGACCTGAGTCCAAGCTTCACTGAAACGGTCGAGAAATTTGCTGCTGGGCCACACCATGAGCTCCTCTCCAGGGTGTATGGTGCGACAGCAGTGATAAAGGATGCTGCCTTTGTACTGGACCGCCAGCAAATTCGTCTCGTCTTTATTTCGAGCAAAATTGACGTACCTGTGTAGGACAAAAGAGATTAATATAAACATGGACAGATTTTTAGACATACCATTATCTGTTGTGTGAAGTGAAAATGTATACATCAGAAGCTACTAGCAAAACATACTTAAATATATGACTGAGTTGTTTGTGGTTGTGATGCATTGTGTATAATCTGTAGGCATCATTTTCTGACAAAGAAGAAAGCATGGAATAAAAACAAATAGATGATAATTTGTGGAATAATCTTTTAAATGAATTCTGACATTGAAAGGGAAACAGTTAAAATAGCAGAATTCACTACTTTACCTCATCCAGTTTGAGTGTGTATCTCTGGCAGCATCAATGTACTCATATTCATCTTTTTCTTTGTAAATCTGCAGAAAGTGTAAGTATGTTATAAGAAAAATGGAAATTAAAATAACTAAATAAAAAATAGCTTACAGAGTAGGATTATATCTATGCTCACCTCCCAGGAGAAGTCACTTGCCATGGCATTTTCTCTTGTTGTCACGTCCCCCTCATAGGGTCCAAAATGCATTCCCGGAGACACTGTTTGGCCGTGATTTGTGACCCCGACGCCTGCACCGGGAATACTAGATCTGCCGATGGTCAGGCCATAGGGCAGAGAGAGGAGGGCCCTCTGGGGGAGACCAGTACTCGTAGGGAAGTCCAGAATAAAAGATGGGCCGCTTAGGGTGGTGGGGTCACTCTGTTCCTGGAAGAGAGGCAGACACTCCTCACAATCTGGAAAACAGAAGAAAACAGTTACTCAACTTTGTGTTAAATGTACATAACCACTTAATGTTTAACACGGTTAAATATCAGAAAATGACTTAAATAGACTGAGGCTGACAACAGCATTGTATGGCATTCTTGCAAAGAAAACTTTTTGATAACTAGTAGAATAATCGTTGAAGCTTCAGTTTGAGTAACAAGTCTCCTCATGTAAGTAAAATAATACATACGTATAGATTAAGTAGAAACGTTTTATTCATCTCAAGGATGCAGTGAATATAAGCACAAGAGAAAATGGTCTTTTCTTACAAAAGCCCCCATCAGCCTCTGGGTTATCTCCATTTCCCACAGTGTCCAGTAGCTTCTGGATAGGTGTTTCTGCTGGCTCTAAAACCGGTAACACTGGAAGAAAAAAGGCATTCATTAAAAAACGTCTTATATATTAAAACAAGTGTTTACAAAGGTCAACATCGAACTTATTATACCTGCAGGTGTGTTGCTTTCAGGGGGTAGGCACTCCTCTGTTATAACTACCTCCTCGGTTGTCTCTACCCACTCCACAGCGGTGCTCCTGCCCGACATGAATGCAGAGTCTGTGGAGAGTTGATATACTATTCATGTTGCTCACACAAATACACAAAGTACATAGGCTACATAACTCGCACGCTAACTTACAGCAACAGATGGACAGCCCACGTTAGCACGCTAGCCTAGTTTGCTAAATATCGTCCTGGAAACAATTTAGCTGGCTCAAAAACATTTCATACAGACGATAAAGTAGTCCTGGTTTTATTAAGTGGAAAGAATGTAAACAACTTATGGCTAATAAGAAAGCATTAGCATAGCTATTCAAGAATTAGTAGCTGCTGTGTGGCTATCCCAGATATATCAACAAGGTGAAGACTAGCATTAGCGATATAATACGTTATAGAGCAGTTTGCAAAATAATCCGTACAAACCTTTGTACCTACTCCAATCACAACGGATTTATTCCTCCGAATGTTTTTTTGACTAGTTGCTGTTCAAACTGCTGTATAGCTGTTAGCTAATAATGTTACCGTTTGGGACTAGAAACCAGAACCATAACTGCGAGGTCAATGCTTCCCCGGAAGTAAATCAATTACACTTTCAACATAAAAGTCCGTTTTTACGTTATGTTACTTTTTATTTTCCAAAGAAAGGTGTCAACATTAATACAACGTACGCAGTTGCAGCTTATTTCCTATCGCACGTACAGTATGTTCTTATAAATCAATTTTTGTAACACATTTCTCAAATCCGTTATTCATACATTTCTGTGAACTATATGTAGTCCGTGGAAGCAATGTTTCGTATCTGCGCCGCTAGTGTAGTGGTATCATGCAAGATTCCCATTCTTGCGACCCGGGTTCGATTCCCGGGCGGCGCACGTCTTTTCTTGCCAAGAACACAATTCCTTACCATTTGACATAGTTTGTAGGTATGGCTGATTGATAAAGGCAGGGTTACAGAAACACATTTTCTTAGGTAAGGCGATATCATAATCACAGGGTCACATTAAGCGCTTTGAGCACCAGGAAAAGCGCTATGTAAATCTAATGTATTATTATTAATATTATAAAGAACTTGGTCATATCTGCTGCAAACCATCTCAGCATATATCACGTGATACCATACTTTACTACTATATGTGCATTATCAGAATCAGAAACAGGTTTATTACCAGGTAGGTTGACACATACGAGGAATTTGATAGAAAACTATAGTAACATTACAAATATTTAAAAATATAGCAGTATGTACATTGAATATGGTGGAAATCGTAGAAATAGAATTGATGCATTTAATATTATAGGCTATGTTATATTGCTACACTAGGGCCTATATCATATTATGTTATACATGCTATTATGACATTGCACCTTACACTATATCGGATCCCATACTAGTGCCATATTATGATATTACATAATAGTTGTATTACAATAATGACCTACTGTATTATTTAGTTATATTACTATATGAACATAGCCAAACACTTAGTGTCAGTTTCTATATATTAGTCTGGTGTAGTACGCTGTTTATATTGTCTTCACCTTGTGACTGCTGCTATTAATAACACCATTGTCACTCTTTATCTCACCACTTTGTCTTTAATATCTCTTGTATAGTTTATTTTTTACTATAGTATTAGGAGTTTTATAAACCTCTTATAATCACTATTATTCACAGTTTTTACTTTGCCTATTTATGTGTACTTATTGCATTTTGAGCATCCATTCCCTGCTGGCGCCTGGAACTTGTTGCCGGGGCAACCTCTTGAATGATGTTTATAGATGTTGTTAAAATAAAGAGGAAAAAAAACAACTGTTGCGTGGCAACTACGTAGCCAACGGAGAGCACCACAAACTATTACAGCGTCGAAATGAAGTCCGCTAAATTTGGTATCACCGCATGCGATCGGGACAGCGAAAAGGCGGAGGCATGTCTCTCCATGTGCGGGATGTGTCCATCTTGCGTTTTTGCCCCCATGCCCCCTGCCTCCAACCGGTGTTGGTGGACGGTGTCGGATGAATTCAAGAGGAGGTTCGTGGTGGAGCTGCTGTTACGATGCAGAAACGTCCAAGTGTTGGAAAGCATCCAGAGTGTGCTGGGTGTCACATCGTGGACTTTACTCACGTACGCCCGGTCCAGGAGCCCGACCTCCCCCGAGGACTTCCCCTGCCGCGGGGCGGGCCGGTCGCTGGAGGGGAGACCTCTTGGGGTGAACCTGCATGAGATCTGGGACTGGTTCACCAGCAGCCCGGACTGGATAAAATCCCGCTACCTTTGCCGGCTTTTCTCACTCTGTGACTCGGAACTATTGCGCATGTTGTCTAATTTAACCAGCGTGCTTCTGGTCAGGCAACAACGAGGGTTTCTGCGGTTTAATGGTAAAAAAAACCACATGTTTTATTGACTTATTATTGCAACTCCTGAGCTGCAATGTCCCATGTCTGCCACTAAAGGCCAGTACAATCCATACATGTGCAAAGTTCACAGTTCCAGAGTTTTTTTTATTTCGTTTTTTATTGTTATATCCACAACAATTACAGTAAAGAAGTATTTTGCATTTGGCTCCCTCCAAAATGTCTTTAATATGTAAAAAAAAAGAAAAAGAAAAAAGAAAGTAAAGCATGAGAATCTAAATAGTTAAAAACAAATGAAATGTAAAAGTAATATACATTTGGTCTGGATAGTACTTTGAATTACTAAACTCAATGTTGATAGGGAAGTTGTTAAACGTAATTTTACATAAATCAAACAATGAAGTGTCATTAAGCAATTTCGTTGTTTCATTGCGGTTAATACATTCATGTATAATCATATAGGCCTATACATATATAATTGCTCCAAAATACTTTTTGTGTTTATTTGAATGAAATACTTCTTACCATTTGATAATCTTGTGCTCCTTCTCAGTGAGGAATGGTAGTAGAGGTCAGCATGATTCTGAAAGTGATGTAGACTCGGAGGACCCCGCTCTCATGGTGGTGCCCGGATCAGCAAAGTCTGCGTCTGGAGTCAGCCGCTATCGAGATTTCATCAGGGGCCTACCTGTTGATCTGTCCAAGAGGATATTAGGTAAGTCAACACATGAGTAACACAAAGGAAAGGAAATGCAGTACTTTGGTTACCATCAACTTATGCAGTTGGCCTGCTGCTAACAGCTTCATATTTCAATTAGTTTAAATCTTTTCTGGTATATTATTTGTATACAATATAATATTATACATGTTGTAAAATTTGGTTGATTTAGTGAATTTCTTAACGCTTCAGGATACTACAGTGAAACAGTAGTGAAGAGGAATTTTAACTTGACAAAATGACATTATTCATCAGAGACAAAATAGCACAAAAACACAAGAGCAGGCATCAAGAGTAGTACAATACAAATGAAATGAGGATAACAAAATAAAACCAGAAAACAAATCAGAATAAAAAGATATGTAGAACTAACAAAAGCAATCTGCTAAATGTTGAAGATGAAAGAATATGACACTATAACCTAGTACTTAAAGCTGGTAGAAAGCTGGTAAGGAAGATAATGATTTCAGTGCCATATATTAGAGTATTAGAGCTCGTAGATATCAGCAAAGTGAGTCTCAAAGTACTATGGGGATGCAACTAAGTTGCTAAAGAATGCTCTTGTTAAATGCACCTTATTCAAGTGGGTAGCCCTTGTATACAAAAACAACAAATCCCTGCCAAGCAACCACTTGGCTGTCTGCTCCCTGTGACCTCTGTCTGCAGGGGAAACAAAGGAACAATATGACATACAAAGTAGGGATGCCAGAAACTGACCATGATCAAAATCGAAAATCGGACAGCCTTGGCGAATATTAATCGATTATTCGACACCACAGCTGCAGCAGCAGTCTGCACTCTGCGCTGCTGGCTTCCTCCAAGTTTACAGTAAAACAAACTGGTGGTGTGATCAATGGTCATTTACAATTATTAATACTATTACTATTATTAGCATTAGTCTATATTTTGGTTGAAACCAAACCAGGAAAAAAAAGAAAAACATAAATATTAATAAAAAAATATATAAATAAAATCGAATTTTTAAAATAATCTTCGATTATGGAGACTGTAACGAATATTCGAATAATCGAATAATCGCTGGCATCCCTAATACAAAGTAATGACAATTAACTTAACATTTGATATTTTTAATACTTCAATATTATACATACATGCAGACATTTTACTGTACACATTTTTCTTTCACCAGGTCTGTTGGATGAGAACTCTCTGAGATGCTGCCTGAAGGTTTGCCCATCCTGGCAGCACCTCGCAAAGGAAACCATAGAGGAAATCAAGTTCAGAAGATATTTCCAGGATCAAATTGAGGCAATGATGAAGGTGGAGCATGTGTATGTTTACGTATAAATATTTAATTGTGCATACAGGATTTGTTTTTCAAAAGTTTTCGCTGATAATGATGGAAGCAAAACTTTTAAAAGTGTATCATGTACATTTTTTATTTAAACTCACAATGACGGTTATGTTTTTTCTTTGTTGTTCTAGAAGGGTAAAGGTATGAATAAAGTCAGTTCCACTTACGCCAACATCGTTGAAGTTCCTGTACCAATCAAAACGGATGAGAAAGTGGTTATTCATGCTCGTGTCCAAAAGGTAAATACATTTTTAACACACATCTAATTTCTTGGTACCAGAAATCGATTGTCAATATGAGGATAAGCGTTTTATTTATTTAACAGGTCAAGCCATTTGAAGCTGCTTATGCCAAAATCAAAGCCAAGATGGTGCCAATGGAGGAGCGAAATGTTTACTGTGGTGCATATTTCACCAAGGTGCTGCTGGACAAGTAAGTGTGTTAAGTTATTTTGACTAAAACATTCTCATTGGAATGAAACATGACTTGGTTGTGCTTGGGTTCAGAGAGGACCCTCATCGGGTGGTGGACTACAGAGGAGGATTGTTTATGGCGACGGGCTCCAAGGACCGCTTGGTGCATCTGCTTCATGTGGGGTCAGAAACAAAGATGGTGTCGGTGATGAAGGGCCATGTGGGCAGCGTCCGGGCGGTGCTGCTGTGTGAGGACAGAGAGCTGCTGATCACTGCCAGCTGCGACGCCAGCATCAGGTGAGGAGGAGGAGGAGGAGGAGGAAGCTGGATGATGCTACAATCTGCCCTGTGACTGACAGAGATGTGGTTATTTGTAGGTGTTGGTGTTTAAAGACAGACAGGTGTGTGATGATGCTGTACGGTCACACTGGCACTGTTAACTGCCTGGGTGTCCACGCTGATCGCCTTGTCTCAGGAGGTAAAGACTGTTTAGTTAAAGGTAAGCAGCCTTTAAAGGACGCATATCATGGTTCATATATAGGATTCATCTTCAGTAAATCATAGCTTAAAATGAAAAGCTTGCCATATGGTTATTCCATCACATCTTCTATCAAATACCTCAATATCTGGATAATGTATACGCATGCAGAAACAAACCCTACTGTTTAAAAGTGCATTATTCTTAGCTGTATATATAGTTATTAGTAGGATTCACAGACATATTTTTATAATTACAAGAACATACTGTATGTTATAATATTTTAAAACTCAGATTTTCACTTAGTTTATTTCCACTAATATGTTCGGTTTGGAAATAATTAAATGAAATGTTTTAATCACTCCCCTGCTGCTATCCCCATGGTTTCTCTTACATATTTTCCCAAATAGATGTGGGCTTTTCTTTGGGAGTTTTTCCTTGTCCGCTGCGAGGGTCTAAGGAAAGAGGGCGTAATGTTCTGTACACATTCTAAAGCCCCCATTAGACAAATGTGTGATATTAGGCTGTATAAATTAAATGTCATTGATATGTGTAAGTGAGCTAAACTGAACTCCCACACTGTCAGTGTGGAGTCTACACACAGGGAAGATTTTTGAGGATTTTCATTTCAAGCACACAAGCCCTGTTCAGTGTGTGAGGATCAACATGAGGACGGTGTTCAGCAGCTGTGATCGGGGCTTTGTCAAAATATGGGACATGGAGAACGCATTGCTGCTCAGGGTGAGACTTATAAGTGGAGACAAATATTTAACCTCTGTCAAACTGTATTTCAGCAACAATTGGTAATATATATTTTGTTATTTTGTTATTTAGGTGATAGATGCCCACAGGAGCTCAGTGAGGTGCCTGTTCTTCGACGAATGGCATTTTTTATCTGGAGACACCAGTGGGCAGGTCATGGCCTGGAGTTTAAACTGTGGCGTTAAAGAGTGTCTGATGACCTTCCCCCACCCAAAGTAAGCAAGAAACCCACCCAGGAAGTTGTTTTAACATTTTTAAATTATATAGGAATACACTCTCTTCGGTATATTTTGCCTTTTTGATTGCTGTTTTAATTTGAGTATCCTCAGGGCTGAATTATTTTTGACTTTTAGTCCTATTACTGCATGATTCACAATATAAAAGGGGAATGGTCATTATTGCATTATATTTGAAATTGGTATTGATAAATATATTAAAACGATCATGGTGTGAGATTTTGCTAGGATCCTAAACCAAAGATGTGTTTCTCTAGTCTGATGAGTATGTTTTAGATGCTGGGAATTCTCAAATCTTAATTCAGAAATGCATTTGACAAAGGTTTTGCCTTAACAAATACTGCACCTCCTGCAAATTCCAATTAATTGTCCCACTATCAAACACAGTTATATATTCTAATAAACCTAACTCTTGATTTATCTGCAGGGAGGTAAAATCTATGACTCTTGTTTACCTGCGTGTTATCACTGGCTGTGTGGATGGGAAGATTCGTATATTTAATTTCCTCACCGGAGATTGTCTGAGAGAGATCACGGCAGAGGCTGAAACAGTCCGAATACTGTCGCTGCACTTCCATGACAACCGGTGAGTCAGATGTTTATTTTTACAAGTGTGTTTCTCTGGTTACATTTGTCTCTCATCATTTCTTTCTGCACCCTGCTTCAGAATAATAGTGAATGCGACGTCAGGTGTGAAGCTCTACCAGTTTGCCAAAGTGTTCTGGGAATACAGCGAGTCAGCTGAGGGAGGCCAGGGCGATGCTGGGACTCAGAACGGTTTGGTTTCTGAAAACACAGCAGTCTCACTGAGAAAACTTTGCGTCACCTCTGCCGGGTCAGATCACACAGCACAGAAGAACAGGAAGAAGTCAGAGAGAGCGGAGCTGCTTTACCACACCCGCTTTCTGCCTTCCATCACTAAAGCACAAGGTAAGCACACTCAAGGCTGACTGTGTATAATGGCGCATTTCCACTACACGGTCGGCCTCGGCCACACTCGGTACGGCTCGGTACGGCTTGGCCGCGTTGGGCCTTAACAGGGCCGACTCACTTCATGCTGCGCTTCCATTACAGTTTAGGAACTGGGGTAGTTACTATAGTAACGCAGTGTAGGCGGAGCCGTGACGTCATCTTCAATGAGAAATCCAGAAACACAACACAGCCGTTAGCCGTTAGCACTCAGAGCTCACAGCTCCTCATATATGTTCAGAAACTCGACAAAAGTTAAACAAGTACACACCACAGACTGCCTGTGTCATGGTGAATACAGTCGCTGCTTTATTTATGTCTGTATAGGCCGTTGTTGTGAGTGTGGACGGTCGGGGCATATACTGCGTTAGTTTAGCCAATCTCCATCTAGAAAAACACGAATTTTAAAAGGTTTTTCGCCTGCCGTCTGTCTGCAGACTTGACAAAGCATTAATTCATGGTTTTTACTAACCGGTATCAGTATGTTGTTACTTCGGCATCATTTTGAAACGTGTATTACAATTAAATCACGGTCAAATATGTCCATCTTGTTGTAGTTCTAGCCCTCTTGCCAGCGCTCCTCTCTCTAGTTTAGCATACTCAGCCCGACTCAGCCCTGTTTGTTGGCCCCGATAGAACCACAATTTTCTAGGGCCAGAAAAGAGGTGAAAAAGTGGACCCGCGCCGTGCCGCGCCGGTAATTGGCCTAGTGGAAGCACAACCAAAAAAGGGGACGGCACGACACGGCACGCTTAAAGCGAGCTCCGCGCTGCAGTGGAACTGCGCCATAAGGGGCATCGTAGGCAAAATAAATAAAATAAATAAAATAAATAAAATAAATAAAATAAATAAAATAAATAAAATAAAATAAAATAAAATAAATAAAATCAATAAAATCAATAAAATAAAATAAAATAAATAAAATAAATAATGAAAAGCTAGGCGAGGTGGTAATACTGAGAGAAAACTCAGAATAACCAAGATTAAAGTAGTACATTTCTGATAAAAAAATTAAAGTAAAAAAAATCTAAGAAACTCAAAAAGAGTTAAAATGCTTGATATTTTGTCTGTATGAGATGTCCTGTATAACAGGGTTTTGTCAAAATCAGTCCAATTTTAAAGTGATGCCAGAAAACAATACAAAATTATAAAATACAAAACGGTATGATTACTCCAAAAATATGAAAATCGTGTCAAATAGACTGTCAGTACGGCATAGACAGCTTTGTTTTCACATCCGCGGTGCCATTTTGTATACGGATGTCATGTTCTTGTGAGAATTGATACATCTTATACAAGAACTTTTCCTCTAAAGCCAGAGAGCGCTGTGTGACTGCCCCGTCCGTGATGCTGAGTGAGAAGGCAACAAGTGACCGGATCAAGAGGAGGGGGCTTCATCATCCTCTGAGCCGAGACTCCATCCTCCTAAAGGTCAATGCCATCCATAAGGCGCAGTGCAGGGATGAAGTCAGCATCAACATGGAGTGCAACGCCCGGCTGCGAGACTCCTGGGGCCCCGACACGTCTCAGGACTCTCAGCTCTGGGACAGCCTTCATACTCAGGATGTTCCTCTCAGGAGGGCTAAAACCTGCGTTCCAATTTTAAACAGAGATGTCAGTCAAAATATGACGAACAAGATCCAAGGCAGAGCCATCTCCACCGCCCCCGACACTCCGAGGAGACGCCCTACCTATTTATTTCCTAAAAAAACACAGCCTCACAGTGCTGACACATTTAAGCGAGTAGGTGGATTCAAAGAGTGCACCCTCATGAGATCGCTGCCTAATCCAGATCGCTCCATGAAAACTGGCACCAGCTTGCCCAGGATCAGCCCTGTGAGTCCATTCAGAGAGCAGGGAGGGCTCCGGCTGCTCACAGTGAAAAAGGCTGGGAGATTTTAGGGCCAAAATGGATCTCAACTGTGAGCAAAAAGTGTCCAATAGATGCTGACGTATTATTATTTTAATGATATGATGTGTCAGCAGAACTCTATCCCCACCGCACGCTGGGTGTTCTGGACATCTTTGTTTGTTTTCATATTTTGTAAATGTTATGTTTCCTTAAAGCTCCACTAGGGGTCAGTATTGTATCACCTCTGGCTGAAACAGGAAGCTTAACTATTATATCTTTTTTTACTTTAGTTTTATTTGACTCTATTTAGATTCCATTCGTATGTAGTTTCATTATTCATCAGCAGTAAGTTTCTATTTTTTAGAACTTTTTTTATTTAAGAAAGAATGAATAAATGAATGTATTTTCTGTTTATATATTCAGTTAATGTGAATAAAGGCATGGAGAAACACAGTTATTTCCTATTTTTATGCAGTTCTTTACATATTTTATGTCGTTTGCATTTATAGTTTGATTGCAGTAGGATTTTCACAATTTTTAACACTTTTGAGTATCTTATTTCCCCACATTAATAGATATTTTTGGTAATTAACTCTACAAAAATTGCTATTTAAGCTTGTTTTCTCAGATTCCAACTTTTATCATAATCTATGCTTCCCTCTTAACACCTGCAGTTTGTACCAGTGTTTAATTTAACAGAAAGGTTATATATAACATATTTATTTAGTTGTTATCCTGAAAAGCCTTCACCGATCAATCAACAATAAATCTTTGTGGATGTCTTGCTTCTGCCGTGCTTCAAAAAGACGAGTGAAGTCTTCAGAGTGAAGAGTTGGTCCCATCCAGAGAGACCTCTTCACCCTGCCACCTTCCCTTTAGCCCCGCTGCCTGGAGGGCATCATTAGGGGCGAGGAGGTTGGAGATCAGGGAGAAGGTCCTCTGCTTTGACGGTAGCAGCACAACAGCTGGGCACCCGTGAATAACAAAGGCTTATGAGCAGAACTGACTGGCTAAGACGTCCCACTTTGGAGAATCTCTTCTTTCAGGAGCTGCTAATTAATTTGGTCTGGAGAAAACCGGGGATAATGGTCTCCCCCATTTTTTTTACTCTTGTTGCAGTGTGACGTAGGCAGACAATGCACACCCCTCCTGGCACCCCGAGCTCGGCTTAGCTTCACCATGCAGCACAGCTCCCCCATTGTTTCATCAGGTATAGAGTCTCTTGTCCCGGACCGGCAAGCTGCGGGGGGGATAACGAGCGTAAAATCAAAGCAAAGTTAGAAAAGGGAAAGTCTTCATAGAGGAATGCTCTTAGACCTTCTGCTCCCTTGAGCAGGCCCAAGGGTTGCTGGGGAGCGGAGGGTACAGGTTTATTTATGCATGAGGAGAAGCCTGAAAGAAAGGACAGTTAACCCTCTCTCCATGAAAGAGTGTTTTAAGGGTTGGAGGCGACCAAGCCAATTTATTATGACCTGGGTGACCTTTGCTTCACATTGATCTCCATATCCAAAGGCGCATATTTGCATCATAGTTGATTTTTCAAAAATAATTTTTCAAATTGTTGTCATGCTGTGACAGCAGCAGGTTTGAACCCCTTAACTCGATTTTGACTGAAAGCCTCTTTCCAGGCCATGTCAGTCTGAGCCAGGCATGGCAAAGACTCTGAATAACCAAATCTTGATCTGTATTATTATTTCTTTCTGTATTTGCATGTCACTCAGACTGGTGGCTGACTTGCCCTGGAGCTGTCCAGATATCACACCGTTACCAGGTTCAACGAGAGTGCTATCAGACACCAAAGCTTAATGAATATGCCAATCACACCATTCTCATGGGGAACGACTTGGGATAAGAACAGGGACTAAACCCCCCCCCCCCATTATGGAAAATCTACACTTCATACTGTTTTTAAAATACAGCAATATTTCCCGCTGTTTCCCAGAAACCACTGGAGAGCTGAAGCTTAAACACGGATCATAACGAACCCATCAACACATGGGAGCAACGACAAGTTCCTTAATCTAAGGACTGTTTAAACGCCAGGCCACGCGGCCAGAAGTGTTTCCAAACCGTCCCCTGTTAGGATTCAGTAACAAGATCCATATGCCTTTCTGACCTCATTTGCAGATAGCGATCATAAGCGAAAGGGGATACAGCCAGAACGAAGGGAGGCAATTAACAGGAACACCATTACTGAGATACGGGACTGATTAACATCCACATCCAGCCGAGCCAAATAGATAAGAGGGAATCTGATTGCTCATTGATTGGTGCCTCTGCAGGCGGGCAGGTTCTTGTTTGGTGGAGTTGGACCTCGCTGCGTTCAAGGGCTCTTTGATTGGGCCAGAAAGAGTGAAACCACTGTGACCACACATCAGGAAGATGATCAAAGAAGCTGACTTTTGGCTACTCGTGTTCAAAACTAACCCCAAACAGATGATTGTTACTCACAGATGGCTCAGTACTAACACGTGTCAAAGACAGAGCTGATATAGGCTGTGGAGGTGACACCTGAATTAGCTTAGGTTGATGTAAAAAATGCCAAGTTTAATATAAAGAGCTATTGTGTAACCGGACTGGATTTTTCCCTCTTGCTCCTGATTTTGTTTGTGTTTATACCATTCACTTTTTTCCTCATTTATGAATTGACTGATTGTACCTTGTGACCATCTGTTTTTACAGCGTGACATATGGAGTGTGTTTGGATAATTGCAAAGAGATTATTTTCTATCTGCAAGACCTATTCCATACAAAAGACCTATAGAAAAACAAACAAACAAAGTCAAACACCGGGGCTTTGCCACCGGAGGCTATGGCACATATTACATGTAAAGTTGGATGGTACAGTCAGTGCCATTATGCAGGGATGGCAATGACTTTTTAGTGTTTGTCCTCTGGGGGGCCCACTAGACCTGTTCATAGATCCGTTCAGTGGCCAGTCTTGAATGTTTTAGCCAATCATCCATGCGTTGGCAGTTCGAGTTTCATCTCTTCTATGTGTTTTTGTAAAGATTATGTCCAGCTTTAACCAAATGACCTCACAATATTTAGTAAAAATCTTGTAATTAATGTAAAATACCGTCTTTCTCTCGGCTGCATTACTATAATTAAATGCTCTTAAAAGAAATAAGAGAGGAATTCACTGCAGTCTGAAACTACTTTAATAACAGGCTTTCAAATCCATTGGAATATGGCATTGATTAGGATTTTCATGGCATGTCAGTGTGAATGTGTCTCAGTGCGTCACTATTAAACCAGAGAGAAGGGTGTCATGGATTGACCTGTGGTCTCAATGGCCCCCAGTCTTCACAGAGCAGCTCCAGACACATGTAGGCGACAGTGTTAAGTGTCATAATTTCACTATTTTCTCAGACATAAATACGGAGACGTAGGTGTCAAAGGTCAGCTGCATAAAACTTCCCTAGTTAGAGGTCAGTAGACGCATATCGGGGGGTTGATGGTGGTGGCACCTTGAAACAAAAAGGCAATTCACGGGCGAAAAAAAAATTACGACATCTGACTACTTCCTGCCACAAAACGAACAGAAAATGAATTGTTACACTGGACTACAAAGGCCTGCATGCACCACAGAAGAAGAAACACTTAAGTGGGCTCAATGCAGCGGAGGATTACAGGCTGTATATTGGATTGTATTTTTCTCGATATCTCACTGAAGAGGCATTTAAAAGCATTTTCTACTTTGTCACATACAGTCAGTAAGTGACTGGCAATACCACATCCATGATAAGTGTTTCTATTTAAAGCTCAGATACGCACCAACAGTATGAGAGAGACTTCAAGACAGCTAATGGGCATCTTTATCAGTGCTTTTCTCATAGTTTGAGTCATGCACTTAATCACAGTCTGACTATTTCGCTCATGTCGAGTACAGATGTTTACCCTCCGTGAATCCTGATACCAGCAGAGCTCTTGCTGTTTGGAGAAGTCCTGTTTCCTGATAAGAAAAACGGACCCCCATTGCTTATGGGCTAAGCAACTGCACATGCATGCCCACACATACAAAATCCAACTTTTAGGGGGTTTTAGGAGCTTGATTTTTGAGGTGGGTACTGCTGGTGATTTTTGTAGTTAAAAAAATGAGTCATTCACTTTGGGATAGTCAAGAAAGTACAGTGTCGGGCACACTATAGTCTTCCCTTAGGAGGTTATATTTTCTTCAAACTTTTAACCTCACTTTACTTAAGACTTAATCCCTAAAATACTCCAAAAACTTTTGAAAAGGCTCATTGCGCTTTACCCTGGAGCAGGATTCACTATCTTTCTTTAACCCACCCTATAACAGTCACAACATTAGCCACTTTCCAGACACGAGAACTCGACTGCTGTTTGTACAGTCAATACTCTCTGGGGTTCTGACTCTCCTCGCGTGACCCTGGCCCAGGAAGAACCTTTTTGGAGCTGTGGAGAACCATCGGGGGTCCTAGCTTAGATATTTCACAGCTCAGCGGGTTCCCTCGCATGTTGATACAAGTGCTGCAAAATAACACACAGCCAGGTTGAATCATGCCATTTGTGTTTTTTAGTTGTCATGGATTTTTTTTTTACGGGACCTGGGGATAAATTCTGACCCACATTAGCAGCAGATGTTTTGGGTCATGGAGTGGAGCATCGTATGTGCTTTTCCCAGGGGTCCATGTGGTGAGAGGAGTATCAGTCATGGACACCAAAGGGGTATGTAGGAGCAAGATGAGCGTTTAAGCAACCTAAGAATTTGTTACTGGAAAGGAGCCAGTTTACTCCTTGACCGGTCAATGATTGGCAGGGGGAAAGGTGACAGACAAAATGGTTCCTTTATCAAAAACGGTTTCCCTACGCGCAGACATTTGAGGCTAAAACACATAGCAAACTTCAAGCCAAAACATCAAAAGTTATTGATTTAAATTTGAAACGATTTCCAGGTGTGTTTCAGCCACATAGTCTGCACGTGTCATGATATCGCCTAAACAGAATCCCTAACCTCATATCAACTGTTAAGGTAAAAAATAAAATGCTTTTTATAACCAACTAATTTACTAGCATGTCAAATAAA